TTATCTATGATTGCTATACATATTTATTGTACTTTTCATACCCATTTTTCTAATTCTATTATGAATTTTAAGACCACTCCTGGACAATCCCCTAGCATAAAGAAATGTATTTCAATTTATTACCTGTGATAATTCGAACACTTTATGTGGTTACATGGCGTGCCAGTTGCACTCCATTAATTTTTCATGCATTATGAAATGACTCAATTATCCACTCCTTAATTTAAATTTGAGGTTTATGAAATGATGATTAAATGATAAGGATGAAAACTTATAATTAAGGAGATATAATGTTATATTGAAATATAATATTTAATGAATTTTATATAATATTGAAAGCACTGGTCCTGGAATGATCTTTTCTTGCCTTAAAGGGAGGGATTCAAACTCACAGAACCTAACAGACAGTAGTGTTATTTGCCACTAACTGAGCTATTCAGCTGACAATGCCAGAGTATGAATCTGTTAACTAAAAACAAAAATTATATCTATTTAATCTTTAAGTTTGTTTGTGTAATCAGTTTATTATAAACCATTTTATAATAATGTTAATAGTCACTTAAATAGAAATTAATAACCTGAAAAGATTTGGTCTTTATTTATTTTTATACTTATCAATAAAAGCTTTATTATTTTTCAACACAAATGTTTATTACTGAGAGTATGGGAAAATAACTTTGGATAACAAACTTTTTATAGACTTATAAAACTGTTTTGAAAGCAAAGTCTTTAATAACCATATTCCTAATGAAATAAATTATCAAACACTTTATGGTTTATATTCCATGAATATTTGTATAAGTATTATTTATGGGGTTGATCAGAACCACAAAGCTTTTAAAGCCTTTTCTAAGGAATAAATAACTCTCAAATGGTACAGAATAGTCAGGTAAAGATATTTGGAGAAGATTAAAGAAAATACAAACAGTCAAGTACTTTTATTAACACTATATAAGTCTGGTTGTTGTAGTTTCATTTACATGTTTTTTACCAAACAATAAAATACACTGCTTGTGTTTATGTTTTAAATAACACCCGGATGTGCATAAAAAGATGTTTACCAAAACAACAGTATATTGACATTGCTAGGCCTTTGATACACTGAGATAGAAAGATACTAGTATAACCATTCAGGAACAACTTTGAAAAAAGCATTATCATTTGTCTATGTTTTTGTACATGGTACTTGTTTTAGTGTACATGAAAGAGATTCACATTATCCTAAATGACCTTGAAAACAACAAATGACCTGCCAACACAGAAGTGATAGTTCTTCCAGCTATAATAAGTCAACAATACAATTCCTCTAAGCCTACTTATGAAATAACAAGCAGGTTTGAGAAAAACCCACGTCAAAACCCAACAGGACAACAGAAAGCCTTGTGAGACCAATATGAAATTATGTCATGTCAAAGCCCCACAATACTGAAAGCCTTGTCAAGCCCAAGTGAAAGAAGTCATCTCGAAGCCCCACAGGACAGAAAGTCTAGTCAAGTCTCATTTGAAAGAAAGTCCTATCAAAGCCCTACAGGACAGACTAAATGTACAGGCCCATTTGATAGAAAGTCATGTCAAATCCCCACAGGAAAGAAAGCCATTTCAAGCCCATTTGAAAGAAAGTCATGAAAATGGAGTTTCTTAGAAGGGAATACAATTTCAAATACTTTCAGTTTCAACATGATAGATTAAAGACACATCAGACAGCCATCTTAAACAATTTATCAAGGTCTACACAATTAAGAAAGAGTAACAAAATCTCCAAATTAAGAGATATGAAATCTGCACTATCATATATCTGATTCACCTGGTCTAGCCTCTTATATTTCTCTAGATTCTGATTTTCTCCTGACAACACCATGTGTTTGTATAGTTAGTTTAGATGAGTCAACACTTTAAACAATTATACAATAACATAATACTATATCCAACAAATAACATAACATAACATTCCTTCAAACTTTAAACATTCAAAATATATCATGGCAAGTTTTACAAAAATGCAAAAATTTCAAACTATGAAAGAAATTTTATTGCGTAGTATTTTTATTATAAAAGCTCACAGTCTTTTCTGAGGTTAAAAAAAATTTTATAGTCAATGATAATGTGCTGATCTGTCACACAATTTAATGTGAAAATGAAAAATTTCTCCATAAATGATAAGAAATTATGGAATTTGCAATAAATCATATTCCTTCAATATCAAATGGAATTGAAAATTATTGCTCCAATGCATGAAAAATATGTTATCTAATATGATGACATCTAACAGTTATTACATATAATAATTTATATATACATAATTACTATAACACCACTTTACTTAATAACACAATGACAAAAATAACAAATACATGTTCAAAATTCAATTTTAATATTTCCTGATTTTCACTACAATTTACATAATCATAATGAAATACTTTTTGAATTATTTTACCAGAAAATTTCAAAAAAGGATTTGAATATCCATCTGTTTTTTGAGCCACAGCAGAAAATAAATCGGTAAACCTGAAATACCACTCACCTATATCAGAAATTAGCCTAGTGTATGTAAGAAGTTAGAAATTTAAGACACTGGACACCCTAGGAACTATTTCCCATTGCTGTATCTTAATATACCTAGAGGATTGTTAAGAGTAGTGTGCAAATTTCCTTTTCTGATGTTGGCAATGATAGGTGAGGTAATCAAGTCTGATAGTCTGACCAACTGCAGGAACTTTTTAGTGCCGAGTGCAAATAGTGAGAAGTAGATTAAGATGTATATATATAATAGTAGGTGATATATATATATACTGGTACCTATAGTAAACACACAGAAATCTTTCACTATCTTAACACATGTTTTATACAACATCTTCTGGCCATAATCTTCTTAGACATTGATATACCTTACCTATCAATTTAATTTCCGTTATACTCATCAATAGGATACTCAAAGACTTGTTGTGCCCTGATTTTCATACAATTCGTAGTTTGAAGAAATTTACCTTTTTTTAATTTTGATTTACTTTTGACTGTGTCTGACACCTCACTGTTCAAATTTCTATATTACATGTTATTAAACAAATATTTCCCACTTGTTTCGAAGTGTACACATGAGATTCAGTTCTACTTCAGTAAGGATGCAGACTGAAAATAGGTCAGATGTCTGAAAATCGCATAGCGTGAAGCCTTGAGTAGCAACATGTTTTAGGTTCTTTTTAATATTTCTATATCATACTACAATTGATATATTGAGCACTATATTGACAATGAGAATTTTTGGCGATTGTAAATATATTTAGCATCAAATTTTCATTTTCAAATATTCAGGTATTTGGTTAAGTTCTCTGCGAGAGAAAATTTCACACTTTCATATCCTATAGGTATTTCATCTTACTAGCCAAATATCACAGATAAACATATTTTGATGTGATGTCAAAGTGACTGTACACTAATCTCCAAAACTGCACTACAGGTTGACTCTAAGACTACTAACTTCCTAAATGAAGAGTAAAATTAGGAAATGATCACTTGTCTATGTGGTATCTTCCTCTATCTATAGTGGGTTTACAGTACTTTAGACGGTACATCCCTTCCTGTGTTTCCGCTATACTAGTTTCAACTCTTATGTTACAAATAAACAAAACCAGCTTGAATATACCGGAATATTATTTTGTTTCTGTTGTATTTTCACATGTGGACGTTTAAGTACATCAATTGCAAATCTGCCACAATTTATTTTTTTCAGATTTTCACAAAAGCTTGCTCACTTATTGAGATCAAATTAATATGACAATAAAAAAATCAAAAATAAAGAAAATGGTGAGGTGAATGATTTAAAAGATCAATGGAATAAGGATTTTCAATCATGCCACCTATATTTTCCTACTATACATTGAATCATCATTGGAGATAAAATTTAAAGTGAAATCAAATGGAAATTTACGTCTGATGTTTCTTCCCCTATATTAGTCCAGGCTATATCATAATAAAACTACACATCCATGGGCATTTTCTTATGCTCAGAAAGTGTTATAAAAAATAGGCACCTTAATGTATTTCATCATATCAAACTGATTATGATGATTATCATATATATCTATCACTGTCACAGAGATTAATATCATAATTAAATGCTGAAATTTTGCCATAGCTTTATTAGCTCCAAATAATCATGAGAGGCAATTCTGACTTGTCAATTTTGAGAGAGTCTAATATCAGACTTTTCTGCAAAATATGAGGTTAATGAAAACAACATGTAAGATTTTTGAATGTTCTCTTTTCTCCTACATGTATTAGTGGCAAGGGAAACTTGGTTGGGAAATGGAAAGTTGAAAAGTTTTGCCAATGAAGGTAGCCTAATCAGATTTCCTTTTCATTTCAATAGTTTTTATTTGCTTTATTTGTTTCTACTTTATTTCTATTAAACAAATAATGAGTTATACTGAACGTCTTAACAAACATGAAAGTAAGAGTTATGTCCCATTTTATTATGCTCATTATTGCTGGAAATTTTCTGATCTGGTCAAAATAATTCAGCAACAAACAAATAGTTATAAGACAAGCATTTCATATTAATTTTAAGATATAGGTGATAGGTGGCTGAACCCTTGAATATTGACATATAATATAAACATTAACATATCAGAATCGTTCATAACAATCTGTGTTGTACACAGTACACAAAAAAGCAGTCAAATTGTCACAAACTGCCTTTTTAATACATAAATATACCAAATTCTATGGAAATAGGATGCATACTAAAGGAAATACAGTGTTTTTTATACTGAGGGAAGAGGCAGATAACTCTGTGTTTGTCATCAGCACCAAAAAAAATCAATTTCTAACAATTGGAAGTTGTGCAAGTTCAAAGTTGATCTTTATTTATGATTATAGATACACATCAGATAAAAACTGCAGAATATTAAGCTTTTACTAGGAAATGTTAACAGCAAGACTTATGGATAGTCTTTGGGTGTGCTTGATTCATATTTCTGCACAGTGTTCTATAGAATGTTCTGTTATGTTCCATTACATGCTGAATTATGAATCAAGCGCATATATGAAGCATGCTGAAAATGAGATCCACAATGAAAGAAGTGGGAGAATCAAAATGAACTTACCTCATCACAACCTGGACAACGAGGACGAATCATTTCAGCATAATGACGTTCACAGTATATATGTTGATTATGTATACAATAGACTAAATCAACTAGTAGTTCATCACAAGCATCACAGACAAAACATGCTGGATGCCAACAGACGTCTGCTCCCATCTTACTAGCAAAGACAGATAACTCCCCTTCTTCTATCTCACCTTTACATGTAAAACAACTCTACAAAGTAAGTATTAATTAGATCAGTTTAAAAAACATGGTTTCAATTTCTCATTCCTTTACAAATATTGGCTTTGAAAATTAATGTTTAAAAGATTGCAGTAAGTTGTCATGATCTATTTTAGCCATTTAAATACATGCTGGAAAGTTCTTAATAACATGAGCAGTATCAATTTCTTAACTTACAGTTGTAGTTGTTGAATCTTTGACAACACCAATACCCATAGCAACCTGATCTCTTAGATCACGAAATATTCGAAATTCTTTCTTTTCCCATTCCTTATCTAATGATTTACAGAAATCTTCTGATAGATCTTGTTTAGGTAGTTGAAGAATAATTTGCATATCTCTATATTTTTCCCCTGGTGTACCTATCTTAGGCACTTTATGATTAGGAAGTTGGTCCATGTAATCTTCAATCTGCAAGGAAAGTTTACGTCAAAAGTTAGAGAAAGTACCAAAAGAGGAAGGGAGAGAGAGCAGCAAGTTTTTCAGGCAAAAATCTCATAACTAGGTTAGAAATTCAGGTAATCTCAGATATTTCGCCATTAACCAAAGTGACTAACCATTAAATGTCTGCATAAAGTAAACAATATGGCTTGATACCCTTCATGTCTTCATCAGTAAGTTTAACCAGTTAAAATGAAGGAGAATGAAGCAAGACAAGATCATTGTTTTAAGTTATCTCCCTTGAAATAGTTTTCAATGATTGAGTGGCCTACTGACAATTGACTATCAGACACTGGTATTATTCTACAATATCATACATCAAAACCTGTTTCTATAAACCTTTTCATCATACTTGGAAATGAATTATTTTGCACTTAAAACAAGATTTTTAAAAGATTAAAATAACATCCACCATAGAAGAATTTATGACAGAGATGTAACAGGTTGATTAGCAATAACAATCTTTTAACTTGCTGATAGTTCAAATCAATCCATTATAAATAATCAATTAAATAATTGGTTACAGTCAACAGAAATCTGATACAGTTCAATCAATGTATTCAATAACTTGAAAGAAATCAAACTGTTGTAGGCCTAAGTGGAATTTTAAAGGGATATGGCCCTCTTAATATTTGTTTAACTATCTGATTCCAGCTGTTTCACTTTAAATCAAACATATAGTTCTCTTGCAATTCATCAAAATTTGAATTATATCAGGAAATTGTAAGCTAACTCCCATGGAATTCTTAAGTCTTCTGATCAGATGTGACCAATAATGCCATATCAGTAACATACAAGAATTTAACAATTCATATGATTGTCTTTAAGTTTGTTTTAAAACTGTTAAAGGCATTCACATCTGTTCATTTTACAAGGAAACAAAAATTGTTGAAAAAACACATAATGTATCATCTTTTTTACAAAGCAACTTAAGTATTAAGTATCCTAAAATTGTAGAGTCTCAATTTGAATTCAAGACTATAAAGAGTGGACCTCGGGACATTATTAATTCAGACAGCGAACCAATTCATTGTTTTCACACATGAATAGTGATAATTGTTAATAAATCTAATCTACACGAGAGATATGTCTGTTAAATCTAATTCTTCTACTATTCAATATATATCTACCAATACTTGTCTACTTCCTAGATAGTATAACATATCCTAAAGGTTTATTGTATTCAATCTCTTCTTACTGATTATGTCCTTTTCTAGAAATGCTTTATGAAGCCAAATATAGGCAAATGGGTGCCAATTTTTTTTTTATAACTGACAATACCGCCTTGAAAATTTAAGATCATGTTGTGAGTCTCCAAACATACCAAAACTTTGCCTCCATGATTCAGACCACTGCATGAAAACAAGCCCCAGCCAGCCCACAGCCTCTCAAAGGTAGTGAAAGTAGTAACGACCCTTCATCAAAGTCAGGTATGGCTCCAGCTAGACATTGTAAGCCCACCTTTCCAAATCACATATTACCCCAATCTTAAAAAAAGTTTTAAAAAGATTTTCAACATGGTGGCTGCTGTGTTTGTCTTGATAGTTTAAATATTAAGAAGTTTGACCAATAGATATAGACAATTCAGAAGAAGTAAATTAAATATTATACCTTATCCTGGGATAACCCTGGAGGTACCCAGGTATAACCATATTTCAATGTATCCTCTTTCGAAACCTGTGAATTAGGATCATCTTGTCTTTTCCAACCCAATCTATCTCGGATGTTAACAAAGTTTTCATTATAGATGTCATGAACTTGACGTGGACATTTACAATGTTGACATGTATATCTGCAAAATACAAAAAAAAAGTGTCTGAATTTGTTTGACTGTTATTCAAATATGATATCAAAGTTCATCTTTATCAACCTGAAAAGTTCTAATAATTTCCATTTGACTGACTCTAAAACTGTTTTAGATTTGGCTTCACATTAATTGGTGTCTACAATTTTATGAACTATCAATTGAAGTCAAATATATATGTTGAACTCAAAGATTGAAATCTTTGCTTTTTTTTTGAAAAGTCATTATTGTCAGTAGTTCACTGAGATTTTTTATTCCTTTTGACAGATTTTAATACATAACAATCAAATTTCAGTGGCTTGTGACAATGGCATCAAGAATTTGATGGTTACAGTACCATTCACTCCCACCCTGTTTTCTCCCTGTAGTCTTTATACAGTAATGAACACTTCAAGCCACTTGGTGCAACTAAAAAAATTCTATCTGGTTATATGATTGTAATGCATTCATTTACAGTAATCATTTCTTCATCATAAATCAATTATTTTCTCTTTCTGTGATCATTAATGATTTCTAATGATATTTTCTCGCCATTTGAATGTAATCACGTGGCTGTAACAGGCCACCATACACAAATCATTCCCACTATAAATTACTTGAACAATGATTTTTAACACAGCAAAAACTTCACACTGAATAAATCATTATTGTTTTCTTCTGCTCCTTGAATGTCTGATTTCTATAATTAGTCTTGTATCTCATTTGTAAGTTGGAGCGTTGCGATCAGTTGTAAAAAGTAGGAGATTAAACTGCGTTAACTAAGTAGAAATCAATGAACGATAGTAATTCTACCAACATAAAATATTTAAGAGAGACATAACATTCTGGTGTTAGCCACTTTCTAACATTGAGAAAATGTCAAAAGTTAATATGTATTATCTGGTTTGTCAGCAGTTCGAACACATTGATGATGTAGAGATATACGAGCCAAATCAATCAATGAATTATAAGTCATAAAAATCAACAGAAATCATAACTAAATGGTCTATAGCTAGAAGCTTCTCTTCAGCATACAGTCGTAACAGTTGGTATTTAACTATACAGATATCAAAGTAAAAGTTGATAACTAAAGATACAGCATTTTCAAACAATATTGCCTGATCTTATCAAAATGTTCATTATACATATGCTTTTATCACAATAGCAGTCAAATGAGTGGTCATATTTCATTTCAATGATTTGTTAGATCGTTTGATGTTGATTTTGAACCAATATGAAAGGAAGTCTATGAGAAAAAAAGATGGCATTTGCAAAATTTCTTTCAGCTTGTCTTAATCTCATATTTTTCATAAAACAATTTTTTTTTTTAGATCAAAGATATATTTGTCATACAAAAATTAAAAAAAAACTTCAAGAACCTCTGTAGTCATGTAAAACTAACATGAGAATTGTTTAGTCTATTGACTTGAAAAGAGCATTTTAAACATTTATAGAATCTGAATTGGCATCACAGACAACAAAGAACTGGTATGAAAATCAGAAATCAGTAAGAACTCATATTATTGTTTAAAACATGTTTTAATTATCAAATTATATTGATTAACATTCTCTTATTTCAATTATAATTTGTTTTTTGAAGATCAGAACTTATAAATCACATTTCAATTTGTTTAAAGAAGAAAGATGAGTTATTGGTGCCTGATAGTTGAATATAAAATCTCCAGACCAGTCCATGTACAGATATATATTTGAGGAAATCAGTCTTTCAATTTCTCATTACAAATATTGAGGAGGAATATTGCTGTCTCAGAATTAATTTGGTTTATATTCTCCAATTACATGACAATATCTGTCAATTATTCTCTTGATGTTTCTACAAGCAATAAAATCTATCTGATATATCATTCTAGTCAAATATATTCATGAAAACATGATCCTTTACTCCTGACCACATGAATTTCAATGTAGACAGAAAAAAAGAACAAAATCGATATACCATTTTGTCAAAACATCTAATATTATCTACTGCCATTTTTTTTTTTAACTAAATGTTCATATTACTGCAGAAGAAAAAGGTAATTTGGCAGTCAAGTGAACATATGGAAAGATCATATATTTGATGTTTGATACTTTTAGAGCAATGGGTATACTTTAAAATCAGAAGAAGAGCTCCATCACTCAGTGAGTTCATGGTCAGGTCATCCAAAAGGCACCACTTTGTATGCTACAGACTGCTACATTGAAGATCCCATAATAGTTCGAAATCCCAAGGAAATATTGTTACAACATACCTCCATTCATGACCTGTAAATCCAGGACATCTATCAACACAAGCTAAACATGGCTGTCCTTCATCCACTTCTTCAACCACTACTCCCTGCAATAAAGAAAAAAAGGTTGATTTTTAAAGAACAAGACATTTAGAAGCACGGAGCATATTATATTATAAAAATTGTCTTCTCTTTGTAATAAGATTACTATGATTTTGAAAGAACAAAACTCCTGATGCCACTATGACACTTAAAACATATCTTGGCACTCAATTAGATTTTCCAGTATGTCTAAATGGTCAAGTCTTGAAAAGATTTAAGTTGTTTTTTAGTATCTTGATAACCTGAAATAAGTCATCTTTCCCTAAAGTGTAATTGGGTATGATAATCTATGAAAATCACTACAAGGACAGACAAAATACTACTCTTCAAGTAAATTATGGCAATTTAGCATTAAACTCTTGATAGCCTAATAAAAAAAAACTCAAAGCATAAACAAACAATTCTACTTCAGTGAGCCAAGAAACATTATGCCTATCAGACAAAATAGAAAAACAATCTAGTATGTACCAACATTTCTTACTAACTATACAACCAGAAATGATTTATATTGTATACATAAATAACTAAACTGATGTTAAATTTAGTAAATATAGTTTTAGTTAGAGTATTTTGTTTTGAAGCCAACAAAAACAGTCTATGACTGACAAATTATAACACAAATGTCAAAGGTATAAAAAGCCTTTTGAATGGTGAACATGTAAACAACAATTGAAACGTGTTTTAACACTGATTAGTAATACATTTCTCACACAATGTCAATTTAAATTTAAAGGCTGATAGGCTAGAAATCTGGTGTAAAAAATTACTTGGGTAACAAGTGCGCTCTCATATGATCTTTGCATTAGTATCATTGCCTAGCTTGACAACTGGAACAATCAAAAATAAGCAGGTTATTAAGGTGACAGCAAAATTTTAAAAAAAAGTCTTAGTTGGCTGGAGCAAAAGAGGACATGATTTTAGGCAATCCTCCTTTTAAGGTTGAAACATGTTGAATAAAGGTCTCAATATGTAATGTGTCACCATGATATTGCTCCTGGAGAAATTATTTTGTTCAATGGCCATATCTTGTCTATGTTTTTTTTATTGTGAGGGATGATCAACATTGAATATAAAGGATCTACAAATTTGTCAACAAATGTTCAATACCTAATATCTGCTATTTGATGAAAGAAGAAAACTTAGTCATTACAAATGAATTTTAGTTGTCTCACGAACTGAAAACATCTGATTTTCTGGACTGACTTTAGCTAGACATACATTTAAGATTTATTGGTTGACCATTCTGCTTATTTGTGCCAGAAGCCAAAAAAACATCTTCTATAAGCTGGTAAGCTAAAGCACATGACTAGACTTTTTTTTTCCTTTAGTGTCTTTTCATAAACAACACATTATTAAGCTAAGTTAAAAGCCTGTCATAGAGTATTTTACCATTATAAACTATAATATATTAGTAACATTATGTTTATGTTGGTAATGTATATCAACAAACTTTTAATTAGTTTATTATAAAAGATAAAACCATTAGTCTACAATCATGTCATCTTACAAAGTGGCTCAGACAATAACTTTGTAAGATACTTAGCTCTTTGATAAAAAAAGCTTTCTTTGATATAGAATAAAATCAAGAAGAAACAACTTTATTTTATGAGGACATCATAAGAACTTAGGTCAAATTCTGAGTCCCAGCTGGTTCTTAGCCAAACCCTTTTCCAGGTTTTTATAAAGTCAGGACACTAAAAAACATATTGCTTCTTTAAGACTTGGACTTGCCTAAATAAAATCCTTCTAAATAAAGAGCATAAATGTTAGGAACAGTTTCTATATAAAGGAATAATTCACTGTTTATACCAATAAAACAGTAGTTTGAAGATGGTTTATACAAACAAGATTGTCAATCATTCCTAGATTCAACTTGAAAACAATTTATATCTTTTCCAACAAATTCTCAAAATAATTCTTTTTTTGATAATGAAGGGTCATAAACAATGTAAACACCTTATTTGATAATGATTGTAAAGTAAGTAGTTTGAAGGTACCAGTAAAAGAAGTAGAGTTTTACCTCCTGCTATGATTAAGATGAAGACTCAGGTGAAGTTAAGATAAGCTGTAGTAAATAATAGAGTCTAGAGAGTTATAACTGAAGAGGTATTTATATCTTATCTCTTCTTACCAGATCAATACAAAAACCTATAAACTTGTTAATCAAATACCATCAAAATACAATCAAATCCCCTATAAAATATGATAAATTACACGTATTCTGGTTATATATAGTAGAGATTAGTACCTGATCATACCATACGAGCAGTAGTTAATAAAGAAATAATCAAGCCAGTGTCATGGTCAGATAATGCTGAGCTGTTGAAAACAACTACGATATCAAACACTGAGTTTACTTTCTCTAAATTACTAAATTGTTATTAAGAAAGTAGGATAACATTATCAGATTTAAGATTGTAATGGCACCAGAAGCATTGTACTTGCACTTAACTGTTCATAAACTGTATTTGAGTCTGGAAATTCCCACAGACCTTTAATAATGGAATGCTATAAACACTATGAGAGAAAAAATAATGGTAATTTGTGAATTTTGCTATTAAATGTGTAAAAATCAACAATACATTTGACTGAGTGTCATATAATGTATGAAAAGATTCAGCAAAGGGTCTTTTTGAAATTGCTTTAATCTATGAACAGACAATGTCATGCATAAAATATAAGAGATTCTTTTGATAGTGAAATTTCAATAGTTAACAAAGTGCAAAATGTATGACCTTAAAATGCAGGTTATAAAGGTCATCAAGGGTATTTTGAATAAGTGAAATGAAACCTTTTCAGTTGTTGTATTCAACAGGCATCTTTCAAAATAGTTTACAATGTGTAAGTTTACTCAAAAAAGTAACCTGAGGTTTGATGTAACATTATTGTAGGTACACAAATCATTTATCACAAAATACATCCTCTAATTTTAGAGAGCTGACAGTGTGTGAAGTATTGATTAGCTAGGTAAATAAAGACCATGGTCTGGTTCCTGATTCAACATCTTATAGTATTAGATAGTTTATTATGATGTTAGTTTAGATACTAAGTACAAGACTAAAATAACTCTTCCATTACACATAGTAGTCGGTCAACAAACTAATATTTCATCCTTATTACTAGTACTAACAAGAAATCAATGCATCATGAAACCAATAAAGTTTACTACCAATTCAATCAACAATTGAGATACTGAGAAAATAGATCTTATTGAGTAAAGAAACTAGAACACAGCTTTGAGATAAGCAGAATGACAGTTTATCAAAAGGAGAAACTGACAAGTACAAATTTCAGTCCATAAGAGGTTAGTCAGCTCAAACAGATAATGTTCAGTGCAACTTGACATGACATACAGATAAGAGATAAAATGAAATGATTGCACATATAACATCTCATGTGAAACTCATTGTTAGAATTATAGGCAGGCAAAGAATAGAACTATTTCATAGAATCATAATCTTTTAAAGCACTGGTAACTAGTTTTAGTATGTTCAAGATCTGCAGATGATCCAACAATATGGATCAATTGATTTGAATCCACTAATAGGCTTATTTTGATGTCATTTTGAGATAGATAAGTAGTCACCATTCAACAGAAGGCACTTGCACAGGATTAAAGTCTGATAAACAACTAACCAAATCTTAATTATAAAGATAATTAACACACTTGATTAAACCAATGACATTTATTAGTAAACAACTCACATACCAACACCTAGTTTATAATGTTAAAGGCCATAACATGTCCTTCAAAGCATGCAGCAAGAAAAAACAAAATTAGGTTAATACAGTAGAAAATAGACCTGATGAGAAGATATGGCCAAGGGAGAAATCTAGCAGTTTGAAAGAATCCACTCAGCAGCTATTATGTGTCACATTTCAACCCAAATTTAGAACATCTTAAACTGTCATGGTTTATAACAAACTTCAAATCTCAAATCTCAAATCTCATTTCATAAAGAGAAGATACGTTTAAGTTACAAAAAATAATTGTTCCCATGAAAAAATTGAATTTTTCCAAGCATATTTTTGGGGGTAGAAATGTTCATTCAGGTAATTCTCTCCAATCATGAAAAACATCATTAGGGCTCAAATAGATAATATCTATTAGATTAAAATACTTGACTTCTCAGAAAGCAGAATGTTTAAAATCTGGTAATTATCTTAACGGTTTTCTAACATTCAACAAACTTGGTATTTAAATTTACACGCTTTCACAGATACAATAGATTAACCATCAAGATAAATTTTAACACATTAAAAGGCTTTCTGCTCAATGAACCTTAAAGTCAGAAATATAATGTACCATATAATAACTGTAATCATAGTACTTTTAATCACTATCATTTATTAGTACTTATATTACCCACCTCTTCACAAGTAATTACTATTCTCGGTATCGGTCGATTCATTTTCTTTACTATATCTACTACTAACGTACTTCAATTTCGGTATAAAGCAATTCACTTCAATGTCTCGTTTCAATATGAGTAATCCAAATAACAGGTCTTTTGACAAATGTTCACAAGACACTCCTAAATGGCAAGATATCACCTTAATATTACACAAATTTTTCATTCATTAAACAATCTTTGTATTAAACTTAATTCATATGCCCCATATTTTCACAAACAATAACAAAACAGTTTGAAAACACATTCTCTTGTGTTTACTTATTTTACCATAATTGGACTAAAGAGCATGCCAAAAACATGATTAAACTTTGTCACTTGAGTTTTTTTGTAAGTGTTTAGTCAGAACAATATGTTGAATCCAAGGGGGGTCAAAAAATGATCATGTATTAGCCCAGTAGGATAGATTTTCATATTCAAAGGCACCACGTTACCAAAGTATAGTTTTTTTGATTAATTAGCTAATCGGCTACGGCCAAACCCCTGCAAAGTCCTATTTACCACTGACCCAGTAACGTCATTCTTCTGTCATAGAATTAATCAAAAGCATGACACAAGATAAATCATTTTTTTCATCCATCAATGACTTGTCAAAACTGTCAATCAAAAATATCCAAACCACTTTTTTGAACATTAAATCACAAGTATACAGATTGATTTCATTGTGAACATCCAATAATCTATTGTCAAAACCATGCACTAACATTCACGACAACATTATTTGAAGTTGGAGTGCATCCTAAAGAAGATACACCAGTATTCTAGTAGGCTTGTTTACATTTAGGGTCATATATGTGAGTCAAATAATAGATCTATCCACCAACAAGTACTCTTTAAAAACTGAGGGAAAAATGTCATCCACCTTGAAGAAAACAGTAGACACTTTTTATCTTTTCAATGACTAATATTAAGTCTCTCACCTCCAACAAAGGAAAGTTTGGGATTATGAAAGCATAACCAACTATATACTATTTTATTGTTTAGTAACTTTTCAGAAAACAGTCAATCAAGTATATCAAAATCTATATATATTTTCAGGCAATTTCCCCCTTCAATTTTTTTATTCATATTATATCTTACTTCCTAGTTAAACTATCAATGAAAATGTATGGCCGTGATTTATGATAAAGACATTCTTTTGATATATCCTGAATGTGCAGTTTGAAATATAGTGAAACCATCTCTAACTCTTTGGATTAATATTTATTTTAAGAAAATTAGTATCAAAGACCTAGATCTACATTAAACCTTCCTAAACCTTATATATTATATAAATTGATAATTTTTAAAAATTTTGCTCAATTTCAGATATTGAAGTGCATTGCATTTGATCTCTTTAAGGATGTGTATATATTGAAAAGATTGTACAAAGATAGTTTATCTTTTAGGGATCAAATTCATCTTATGAAACCAAAGTTAAGTTTTTAAAGAAACAGGAAATATAGTGCATTTTAAAAATAAACTTGATCTTTAAATCAAAGTATAGTTCAGTGAACGGGAAGGAACCAAATTCAAAATAAGAAAAAAAGCAACAGTTATAGTAACTAAGACAAAACAAAATCAAGAGAATAAAGGTGGCTCAACGAGTTAGATGCTTGCTCACTAGCCCAGGAGTTCAGGGTTCATGCCTGGAATTGGTTGACAATTTCTTTCAGACTTCTAACAAAGTTTCCCCCTGTCAAGCAGGTCAGAGGACCAGACATAAAAAATGTATCTAATCATTCAGGCCTGACCATAAATCAAGGTCCCCTGAGCTTCAAAATTGTCAATCCTTCGACAGTCAAAAATCAAAAAAATATTCTGCATGTTCAAATTTCCATTATGGCAGGACTGCTTTAAATACCATAGAAATCAATATTAAATATTATTGTGCATGTAGGAATACTTAAAATCTCTTCTGGTATTGCAAAATAATCTCCTGCACAATTCCATCAAAATTCTATAATTATTGGCATGCAATCCGGTCTGGAAATACCACTA